TGGTTACATATTTGTGTGTGTCTTGACTTCTTAACAGCAGTTGTAAAGCATGATGATGCTGAAAACTGTCGCCAAAACTGGATCAGCTCGATCACATGACTAAATCCCATTCTACCCGATTTTCAAAAAATGGCCATATCTGCCACCGATACTGAGTTTCTGATCGGGACATCCCTATAAAAAACCATCTACAGTCTGTGTTGTTAGCCATTTTAGCAACGCTCTGTTCACAAGCAGACATTCCCCTTTGACATCACTTCCTGTTACTGCACATGTGAGTATCTCAACAACTGTTCATCTCAGCAGTGTGAAATCCATTTTGCTTTTCGTAATCCATGTTTTCTTTCCAAAAATGCATTCATATTTATCAAAAAAAATCTGATGTCACAGACACTTTAACATATAATATGTGCTCTTTTCTACAGYCTACCTGTGAGAGAGTTTCTTTGTCTCGATGATCCACCTGGACCTTTTGATAGTCTGGAGGAGAGCAGGGTAAGTGGGCACGTCCAACTGTTTGCAAATCTACAGATACCCCTTCAGCAAAGGTTGTAGGAAGTTGATKAATTTAATAAGTAAGTCTCAGGCTGACAGTCAATGTTAAGCTGGAGCTAAAAATTATTTTTTCTACACATTAATATGATGTAGTCCCAAGTACACAGCTCAAAGTGTGTCAACTCTTGTGTTTCCTCCTTTGCTTTAAAAAACAAGAYRGCTGCAATCACAGCAAACTCCTGTTGGAGAGAACTTCTGCTCTGTTTTAGTTGGGGTCTATATAAAGTGGAACTGCAATGCTTTGGTCTGAATTCCTCCTTATTGTAACTCCACAAGCCCCTTTTTCACCCCTTTTCAGAGGTGTGTCTCAGATCAGCTCGTTTTGAGGCTGTCTCTTTAAATCCAAACGAGGTGCTTCTCACCCCGCCCCCTCTAGCTTCCAGTTTAAGAATGGAGTTTGCTACTGTCTTGTGGTGCAGAGCCGTTTTAATTTAATTTAATTTATTTTATTTTAACAGGACAGTGCATATTAATAACAGTACATCTGTGATATGCTAGAATTAGCCAAAAGCTAGCTTTCATCTGTAGTCCTGGTGGCCAGTTGTACAGTGGCACCCTAGGAAGATATAAAATGTTAAACAATAAAATCATCAACAATTGAGAACAACATATTTAAAGCAGTGTTAGTTTCATGCAAGAGAAACAACAGTGGCAGCATAAACAGTGAGATACAAATAAAAATAGTTCAGAAGAGTATAGTTTTTTTTTGTACCAATTAGTTACAATAAGACTTGTCCATCAGCGCCGTGAGAGACTTCATCAGTGTGCRTTGCCAATGCAATGCACACTATTGTGATTTGTTTCCCATCCAAGTTATCTCAACTTTGCCATGCTTCTCCTCCTGCATACTTTGTCCTAGAGCTGCCATTGTAATTTATATCTGTAAAGCCCCTGTGCCAAATGATGGCTATGCCTTTTGGTGCCTGTAAAACTTATAGTTTTTGAAATATTAATGTTTAATAAATTATAAAGGCAGTCAATGTAGCCTTGTATTGGTCCAATACTTCCCCCTGCTGCATCTACACAATATGGTACTGTACCATAGTTTCATAATATTTAAACTCAGTAGTTCAGTGATTACAATATTAATATGATTGTATTTTGATGTTTTACCATAATATTGTCTTAATACTGCTCTATTGTTGTAATATTATGCAGTTTAGTGTCAATAATTGTATTGGCAATGTGGCCTCTTTCTGCACACATACAAACCAACCCCCTGCCACCACCTTCTGCCACAACTCCATTGGTCTAATGGTCTATGTCATGGACTTTCATGTTGGAGATCAGGGTTCAAAACCCTGCTAATTTGAACTTGGTCAAAGTTCATTCTGCAAGTCCAATGCTGCAGGCAAAGCCATGCTGCAATGACATGCTACGTGGCAATGCACACTTGTTTTTACATCGTAAAAACCCATGTCTAGTTATTTTTATTTTTCCTTTTTTTGGAGCAGKGCTCATTGGCTGGCCCAACCAAAGTCACACGTTGTACGAATAACTGCATCCAGTAGTGTTTGTGACTGTACTCTTAAGAGATAAAACATATAATTTGGTAAAATAACAAAAAAAAAAACCACTATGTATTTAAAATGTTAGACCCTTATTCGGCCCTGGACTTTACACAAACATGAAGTGCTTCACTTATTTAATGACAGACTTTCATGGTGGTGTTTGGTCCAACAGGCAGGTTGTTCTGTGAAAGACCTCGTTGTGTGCCAACAAGCCAAGGCTTTTTATTTTCACCACTTCTCCAGGAAATAAATGTCCCAAGTTGTGTTGTCATTTACTCTTGACYTCTAAAATCCACCTACTTAATGTGAGCCAGATATTTTCAGTGTCAGGCATCTTAAAGGAATAATTCAGAGTAAGGATGGACATTTTAACCATAAACACTATTTTAATTCATCAGATTTTTATCAGATACATCAGTTTGGAGAAATAAAGTGAAATTCTAATCAGATTACAGTGATAACGGCTAATCTTAGCTCAACAATTTCAAAATGGTTCATGCAAACACTATTGTCAAAACTGTACTTGATTGATCAGGGGTCATGTAATTAGGAACACTTTGTATTTAAATCTTTTAATGTAATATTTTTGAGAAAAATGTTGAAAATAAATTAATAATTATATTAAAGGGAACATATCATGCAAAATCCACTTTTTTTAGCTGTAAAATACATTTTGTTGTGTGTCAAATTATCTGCAACAAAATTGCCAAATAAGGTCTGGACTTACCAACTACAATTTCCTGGTTGTAATTCTCCTCTGGTTCTGGGTCAGACTCTGGTTCCAACAAGTAAGGCTGGATAAACAAGTCTTCTGTTGCTGACATCTTTTAATTAAAACATTTCTGCAAGTTGGAAAACAACCCCCCACCCCCCAAAGTGGGGTGGACTGGTCTGGAAGCCGGAGGGGGCGGGGCTTGAAGCGTCCTAGAGGAACAGTAACAAAACCAGCTGCTTTGAGACACACATCAGAAAAGGGGTGAAAGAGGAGCTGGTAARGTTCAAATAAGAAGGAATTCAGACCAAAGCATTGTAGTTGTACTTTATTGTACACACCCTTCAGCCACTGCTGCTGTTTGTACATGCAAACAACCAAAGAAAGCTAAAGAGGAAATGTAAAGTTTACATTAGGACTACACAACTGATCAAAAATCTATCAAGTGATTCCAATAAAACCCCCGCAGACCCTCAGGCCACTAAATGCATGAGGGTCCCAGCCAGCACATGGAGAGTGGTGGGAGCAAGGTGATGACAGAACATGATTGTTGCATGGTTGTTGTTTTTTTTTTTCTTCCTTCAGGTGTTCTGTGAGACTCTGGAGGAAAGCAACTATCGTCTCCAGAAGGAGTTGCTGGAGAAGCAGAAGGAGATCGCCTCCTTAAAGAGGAAGCTGGAGGAGAAGGAGCGGACCATCCTCTTACTGGAGAAACACGTGAAGTCAGTCGATTCACACCAACAGTTACACGTACAGAAGGTTCTGCAGCACGGGCATTTGTAATAAGGTCTTAACAATGCTGTTTGGATGTGTGTGTAACAGCGGTGAGTGTGTGAGCCCAGAGTCTCCATATGGTCTGTCAGCTCAGGGCAGTGAAAGCAGCATAGATGTTGACGTGGAGTCGTCTGCTGCAGAGGCCGATCAAGACATGCCGGATGACACGGGGTAAAACCACACTAACACAAAATACACTAAGACCTGTAAGCATCTAGAATGTTCAAATGACTGCATCCATGTTTGATACAGAAGACATGGATTTTAAGACTTATTGAGCAGCTACAGCAACAGACTTGATATGAACTGGTTATTAAAGGGGACATATCGTGCAAAATCCACTTTTATAGCTGTTAAATACACTTTGTTGTGTACTTGGAGTCTCTAGGAGAACAGAAAAAGGTGCTGTGTAGATATMTTTATAATTTGTTTGGGTCATATTTTTCAACCCGTTCAGTTTTCACTATTTTCTTTGACGTTTTCTGAACTATTACGTCACAGTATTTGCAACAGATTTTCTAAATAATGTCTGGACTCACTGGCTACAGTTTAGTGGTCTTCATTCTCCTCTGGCTCTGGGTCAGACTCTGGCTCTAACATGTCAGACTGGATGAACAAGTATGTTGTTGACGGCTAAATCGGTCAAAATTTTCTCCTGTGTATAATATGACCACTCAACCTAATGGGTGATGTTTGGGGTCAAATCTTTACGCATAAATATGGTAAATCCCAGTTGCAGGCATCTTGTGAAAAAGGCTGTGTCTCAATTCAGGGGCTGGGTCCTCATGAGTGCG